GGGTCTCCGCCTAGGCGCCGATTAATCCACGCCTAGACCAATTAGTCCCTTAACCCCAGTCGAGTGCGACTACCGCCTAGCAACTTTTACAACCTTGGTATCAAGTTAGGATTTTGGTTTTTGGACTCCTTCTAGCCATGGGAAGTCATACAGTTGGAAACTTTATGACTTAGAATGATATTTGGGACTAAATCTGAACTTTGGAAATGATGTCTTAATGGAATAATATCTTAATGAGGAAAGTTGAGTCAGAACGAGTACATTGCGCTTATTGGGCAAAGGTCCAATGATTTTGGCCAAGGATCTACTACGCTGAGCGTAGTGGCTGAGTACGCAGGGCGTACTCAGTCTATGTTGATTCTTTGACTTTTTGACTTTGACTTTGACCAGGATTTTTGACCAAGTTTGACTTAGGGGTATTTTTGGGTAATTTGAATGGTAGTTTGAGACTAGGTCACTGTTTATGGTATAGGTGACCGGTAGACACAACATTTGGAGCAGTGGTCTATTCAGCTACATTTCGAACTATGAGGTGAGTTTTTCTCACTGTACTTGTGAGTCGAAGGCACCAATGTCGGCCCACTAGGTTATGTATCCTGGTATATAAGATGATGTCGGCCTACTAGGTTATGTATCCTGGTATATAAGATATGTACTTATGTTTATCTATTGTATATGTCGACATATTATGGTTGAGTTGAGGCGATCCTACTTTGTGCCCGAAGGCCACGATACACAAGGTAGATCGGATAGGTTGTAGGCCATGTCAGGCGGTCCAGTTAGGCTGAATACCCGGAAAGCGGTCCAAATAGGTTGTTGGCTCTGCGAGGTGGTCCAGTTATGCTGAAGGCTCTTGTACGCATGTTGTTATCTGTATGTTGCTATTATATATAAAGAAATATCATTATGTTTCTGTCATGATAACAATAAAATATTTTTTAATTATTAGTTTTGGGATATATATATATATATATATATATATATATATATATATATATATATATATATATATATATTGTTATTATTATGGTTATGTGTAAAAATCGTAAGTGTATTGCTATTATGGGAAACAATTGTAAGTACGTTACTACTAGACAACCATTCTAAATATGTTATTATTATGGATAAAAATTATAAATATGTTGCTAATGTATTTTAATTTTGATATTTTCTTTACTAAAGAGATGTGGCCACTTGTAATAGAACTCAAATTATATGCATAAAAGGATCGTATTACATGTTGATTATGATCAGAATTAAAACTTGTGTGCCTAAAATGAATTTATATGCAAAATGATTCAATTTTGAAACTGGACTCTTTGACACTTTCACAAAGAATCCAACTTCATACAATGTTGATGTAACGTGGTGGACAATCAGGTTATTCTAGCTATCTAGCAACTAACATGCCCATGTCAAATTTGAAATCTCCCATCTTTATTTTTTGGATATAGTTATAGTCATTTATGAGTGGTAGAGTTTCATTCCTTATGATTGTTGGAGAATGCTTTTTGCACATTTATCCAAAACGAAGTTTTAGCTTCATCTCGAGGCTTGTTCTCTTGTATGGCTTCTTCTTCCACAAGTTCGAGTGATATTTGTCTGTGCTCGTTCAAAAGCTTCCATTGTTGCCCAAACGGTGAAGTGGGAAGTAAGGGGATTGGCCGTATGATTTCACACATCAAAAGGCATCATTTACCTACTGAAGACCGTAAAAGTGTGTTACGCGAAGCTCTTTCTAGTGACGTTGGTTTATTTATGGCAGTGGAAGAAACTTTGAAGGCCTTTGGTCAATGGATGTGTGGGAAATGTATGACTTTGCAGGCCCTTAGCCGTTATTGTCATCACCCGGATGGTCGTGCGAGGTTTGTTACAGGGGATGACGGCTCGAGTCGTTATATTGTCGGTATTCTAAAGCCGTCAACTAAAGAGTCGATGACAAATGCTCTTGGAGGTTTGGTTTTTGATGTTGCGCTCCTTGATCGTGTTTTTAATGAGCCTATCACTACTGTCAAGAGTGTCCCCCACAGTTGTTGTCTTGCTTTCTCTCAGGCTTTGAAGACCGCTCTATACAAGGTGATTGCCCAACCTGGCTCGGTTGAGGCATGGATGTGTTTGTTACTTCTTCCTCGATGCACACTGCAGGTGTTTAGACCCAAAAATAGACAAGAATGTAGGTCTGGGAATAGAAAATCCTTACAGCAAAGCTCCATCGTGAAGTCCTTGGATACATGGGGGAAAGAGGGTGGTATCACGAAGTTAGTTCAAAATATGTTAGACAATCTTGAGGTTGGAGCTATGAGACAGGGTGGAGGCATCCTTCAGAAGGAGGCTACATCAAGTAACACCAACATCAGACAGTGTCTCCGTAAGGTTGTAGATGGTCATTTTACCACAGCAGTGAAAGTGTTATGCTCATCGGGTGTTGCACCATATAATGGTGATACTATTAAAGCTTTGGAGGACAAACACCCTTTCAGATCACCCCATCCATGCCGAGCCCCATAATTTCTGAACCTCCCCTTGTAGTAGACTTTGACTGTGTATTTGGTTGCATCAAATCCTTCCCTAAAGGAACTTCTTGCGGGAGAGATGGCTTGAGGGCTCAACACTTACTAGACGCCCTTTGTGGAGAAGGGTCTGCTATTGCCACAGATCTCATACATGCTATCACTTCAGTTGTTAATTTATGGTTAGTGGGAAGATGTCCAACCATTTTGGCAGAGTTTGTTGCATCCGCTCCTCTCACGCCTCTACTTAAACCTGACAACGGGATCCGTCCGATTGCAGTAGGCACTATATGGAGACTTCTGGTTTCCAAGGTTGCCATGAAAGGTGTAGGTATAGAAATGGCCAAGTACCTTAATGATTTTCAGTTCGGGGTTGGTGTATCTGGCGGTGTTGAGGCTGTGTTACACAGTGCCAATAGGGTGTTGAGTGAACACCATGCTGATGGGTCTCTTGTAATGCTGATTGTGGATTTTTCGAATGCCTTTAACCTGGTGGATCGATCAGCATTGCTCCACGAGGTTAAGAAGATGTGCCCTTCCTTTTCTTTGTGGGTGAATTTCTTGTACGGGCAAGCAGCGAGACTTTATATCGGAGACCAACATATATGGTCTGCCACTGGGGTGCAGCAAGGTGACCCCTTGGGCCCTCTTCTTTTTGCCCTCGTTTTTCACCCGCTTGTGCACAAGATTAGAGACAATTGTAATCTCCTTCTCCATGCTTGGTATCTAGATGATGGGACTGTCATTGGGGATTCAGAGGAGGTGCCTAGAGTGTTGAACATAATTCGGTTGCAAGGTCCAAGTTTGGGTCTGGAGTTGAACATCAAGAAAACGGAGATTTTTTGGCCCTCCTGTGATGGTAGGAAGCTTCGTGCTGATTTATTCCCAACGGATATAGAGAGACCTTCTTTGGGGTGAAGCTCCTTGGGGGGGGGGTTGTTAGCAGAGACGCAGGGTTTATTAGCGGGTTGGCCATGAAGAGAGCGGTCAATGCTGTTGATTTGATGGGCCTTCTTCCACAACTATGTGACCCGCAGAGTGAGCTCCTTTTGCTTCGATCATGTATGGGCATTGCAAAACTTTTCTTTGGTTTAAGGACATGCCAGCCGATACACATAGAAGAGGAAGCGTTATTCTTTGACAAAGGATTGCGCAGGTCTATCGAGGATATAGTGGTATGTGGAGGCCCCTTCTTTGGAGACATTCAGTGGCGCTTGGCTTCCTTACCTATTCGTTTCGGTGGTTTGGGTTTGTACTCGGCCTACGAGGTTTACTCCTACGCATTTGTAGCCTCGAGGGCCCAATCTTGGGCATTACAAGACCACATCTTACGTGACAGTGGCGTATGTGGTATGGACTCGGATTACCTATGTGCTATGACTCGTCTTCGCAATACGATTCCGGGATTTAACTATAGCGGTTTCACTAATAAGGACACCGCCCCCCCCCCCCCCTAAATCCCAAAAAGCTTTGGCGTGTGCCCTTTTTAGCAAAATCGTCCAAGATATGGAAGTCGACTTTGACATGACTGTCAGACAGAAAGCAGTCTTTGAGTGTTTGCGGGCGCCTCATGCTCAGGATTTTCTGCTAACTATCCCTATTGATGGTCTTGGCCAACATATGTCTCCTGTGGAGTACCGAACTATCCTTCGTTACCGCCTCATGATTCCCATATTCCCAATTGACGAGATATGTCCAGTTTGTCGCAAGGCATGTTTGGATACCTTTGGGGAACACGCGGTTTATTGTAGAGAGCTCCCTGGTTTCAAGTATAGACATGATGTGGTTCGGGATGTTCTCTTTGATGCTTGTCGGCGTGTTGGTATTTCTGTGAAGAAAGAAGCGCCAGTGAACTTTTTGACGGACCCGCAGGATGGAAGGTCCACACTTAGACCGACTGACATTTTGGTCTTTGGATGGATAGGAGGGAAGCATGTGTGCGTGGATCTTACTGGGGTCTCTCCTCTCGTTGGTTTGGGGAGCGGGGGTTTCACAGCTGGGCATGCCGCTTTGAAAGCCGCTGCGTGCAAAGTGGTAAAGCACGAGAATGCATGTATAGCAAATCAACATGTGTTTGTTCCTTTTGCATTCGATACATTTGGTTTTCTCGCACCAGAGGCGGTGGAGCTCCTCAATAGAGTCCAACGGGTCATGCATTCTAATGTAATATCTCCTAGATCCACAAATGTAGTTTTCAAAAGAATTGGTTTTCTTATCCAGAAAGGGCTAGCGGCGCAGCTTGTTGCCCGTTTGCCTTCGATCAATATGTATTGAACTATAATATGTTTATTAATTATTAATTTATGACAAATCGATGATAACATATGTAAAAAGTAATATAATTGTATAATATGTAAATATTTCATATTTCATATCTATTATTTATGTAACAACCGATGAAAGTAATAAAATTACATTAAACCACATCTACCATAACCACTGTTAAAAAAACTATTGAGTCAACATTAAAATTGTTGATGACCCACATGACTACAGGGGTTTCATAATTAGAGGCAACCCTTGCATAGGCCTAAGAGAAAGCATAATAGATGGCAAATGAATGTAATTTGGAGACAATGAAAATGAAAACCTAGTTAAGATTAAGCTCAACATGATCTTGTACTCCATTGCGCTCAAGTTTCTACCAACACACATTCGACCTCCAAACCCGAAAGGCAAATAGCCCATTTTGTGTTGACACCCACCATGCAAATCATCCTTAAATCGCTCAGGTTTGAATTCATTGACATCGTTACCCCATAAATCATAATCATGGTGCATTGCCACTACGTCAATCCATATGTTGGTGCCATCTGGGATTATGGAATCTTGGTCCACTCGAATGTCACCACGAACTTGTCTTTGCACGTTTGGAGCTGAAGGGTATAGTCGTAAGACTTCCTTCATTACCCAACTCATCTGTAATCACAAAATAAAAAGATATATATATATATATATATATATATATATATATATATATATATATATATATATATATATATATAAAGACTAATAAAGCTAATAAATGTATAAAGATTAATAAAACAAATTTTAAATCCTAATTTGTATTTAATTTGATACTACGTAATAAAAAAGGAAAGTTTATTGAGTTTTATAAAAAAATATTTTTTTAATAACATCTTCATATATTATTAAAAAGTATTGACGCTAATAATAAGTTAGACAACTATTCATTAGATCATTGATTTTGAAGAAGAATTTAAATTCGTCTTGAATATATTTCCATTATTATTGCCGACAATTAATTGTATTTCTATATTAAAAATCTTACAAATCAAGTTTAATTAATAATTTATTAAAAATAACTGATTAATAATTTTATTTGTAACCGTGGTTCCCACGGGCTATAACCTAATTATCCAATATAATAAACGGATTGAAAAAACATAAAAGTATTTATGATATTATATTAATTAGTTTAAATTACATGATTATAAGCTTAACTAAAAGGGTTTATACATCTATTGACATGTTTTAAATGGGCACTAGATCTTATATAATTAAGTTCATTCATTCTCCACTTTTATATATATATATATCTATATATATATATATATATATATATATATATATATATATATATATATATATATATATAATAAATGATTGCTTTATTTGTGAATTAGGTTTCGCTAAAGCGCCACCAATAACGTCTACGTCGTTATATAATTTGACAGAAAATGTTGAACTTTTGATACTAAGTAAGCCCCCTTAGACAAATAGAAAATAAAAACAACCGGTAGAAATAAAAAGAAATTAAATATCTTTTTATTATTCTTCATAAAATTCTTTTATCATTTTTAGATGATGATAAGTATAATAAAAAAGATTATTAATTTTATTAAATATAACAAATATCATAATCTTAAATGTATAAGATGATGATAGGAAAAAAAATGATATTTGATTTCTGATAAATAAAATCTACTAAGAAAAAATAAATACAACTAATAGAAATTAAAAAAATTTACTATTTTTTCTGAACGACAAATCTAGTTACTTTAAATGTGTAGAAAGGTGATAGAAAAAAAATGATATTTGATTTCTCATAAATAAAATCTACTAAGATAAAATAAATACAACTAGTAGAAATTAATAATTTTTTTTTTTGAACAGTAAATCTAGTTACTTCTAAAACTAAACTAACACCTAATTTCATGCATATCAATAATAATATAATTTAATTTGCTGTTAAAAACGGAGGGCTTTGATATTATATATATATATATATATATATATATATATATATATATATATATATATATATATATAAATTCAATAGAGAATCATGTTAATCAGGAAGCAACGAATCAATTCAAAGCGTCGGAATTTAAAGCGATCAACGGCTAAAAGAAGGATTGTAAACTTTTATAATGGACTTTTATAATGGACGCACATGTACCGGATTATATATATAATATATATATATATATATATATATATATATTATATATATATATATATATATATATATATATATATATATATATATATGCTTTGCAGATATATTGTAGACATAAAATTTACTAACTTGAGAAATATTGCAAAAATGAAATTTACTAGATTAGTGATAATAAAATCTGTTTGTGGTTAATTAAAAGTTAATGGAAGTGTTTGAAAATATAATTTACTAATATATTGTTAATTTGAAATTTAAAAAGTTTTTGAAACTCCCAATAAAAAAGGTTTGACTGCTTTGATGCATAGCTTGATTAAAATGTTTATCTATCGATCAAATGTATAAACTTTTTGTTAGTCAATGCATGTAAAAAACTTGTTACAGGTTTTGGGACCGAAAGATAACAAAAAGAAATAAAAAACATAGCATGTAAAAAAAAAAAAAAAAAAAAAAAAAAAAAAAAAAAAAAACATGTTCATGAGTAAAGCAACTGTCTTACGTACCTTCTTTAGACCAGCAACCATGGTTGCATCAATGTCACCATCTCCAATCACCTGCTTGATTTCTTCTCTAAGCTCATGCTGCCACATGGGGTGCACCGCTAAGAGCAGTAAGCTCCAGGTGATGGCCAACGCCGTGGTCTCATGCCCACCAAAAAAGAACGTCTTGCACTCATCCACCAGCTCACTCGTACTCAATTTCCTTCCTTTTTGTCCCTCCACATGAGTTTCTTCCAGCAAAATTCCTAAAAGATTCTGCCCATGTTCTTTACCACCTCCGTTTTCTGCCATGGATTTCTTTCTATCTACTATGATCGATAACAGTAGGGCGTCTATCTCTTTCCCTAGTCTTTCTGCTTCAAGATTTTGTCCCAAGCACAAGTACTTGCTGAAAGGTACACCTACGTAACGATTCGACTTGAATAGTGTTACTTGCATGGCTCTTAGTTTCTGGAACACTGCTCTCCCGTTTTCGAAATTCATTCCGAAGCTTGTTTTTGCTATGATTTCACCTGCCGTCGTTATGATTTCTCCCTCTGCTTCGATCTCTGGATTCCCGGAGTTTATCAACTCCGTCCATCTGTCTAGCATGCTTTTCGTAGTCTCCACCATCATGCTTGTCATTGCCTGTAATAAGATGATACAACAAAAATCAGTGACGAATCCAAGATTTAATGCTTTGAACCTCATCCGTATACTTTATGTTCTTTTAAACTTCGAAAAACTACAAAAGTTTCCTTTTAGGGTATGCATGTGTACACAGATCCGACCGAATATTTTTTACTATAATTAGCAACTTCAGAGATGGATTTTGAGAGAGAAAAGAGAGTTTTCATGAGAGATGACCTTCAAGTTAGCAGGGGAGAATGCAGGAGTTATAACATGACGATGTCGAACCCAATCATCACCTTCCACCATAATCAAACCATCACCAAACATGGGTTTTCTGTCGTTTTTGAACACTGTTGGTTTCCCCCAGCTTTTCCCCATAACCCCAGATGATATTTTCTTCAAGAATTCTGGATCAGCAATATACAGAAATGGCTCAGTTCCTAGCCAGTACATAAACACCTTCCCTGCAAAAACATGATCAAGAAACATGCATGAGAAACCCTAATTTAATGAAAACTTCTAAAAAAGGAGAAGACCTATATATCAAACTTATCAGAGCTATAGGGTTTTGGATTTTGATCTTTACCATGGGATTTTTGCCATTGAGCAAAGTAAGGAAACACACTGGAATGAATATCATTAGAAACCGTTGAAGATGAAGAAGAAGATTCGACTCTCTTGGTCTTCTTCATCGCAGTGGTGTTTCCTAGAGGAAAACTTGGAGGTGGGCCAGAAAACCCATTAATAACGAGCTTTCTGTAAGCCCTAATGGGCAAAACCCAGCACGAATACAACACCCTCCATAACAGAAATGAGAAAAATGCAGCCATTGCGAATGTAATTGCTTCAAGATTTTCCATATTTTTATCTCTCTAGGTAACTAGATCTGTAAGTGTAAATATGATCGAGTGTATTTACAAATGGAGAATGGTGTTGGGGTATTTATAGAGGGAGATGAAGGTAGGAATTGTCATAGAGTTTGACCGAATTGAATATCTAAAGAGACCACTCTGATGAATATTGAATAAGGAATTTGAATAGGTTGAATAATCTTTTCTCGAAAGTTGGTCACATAATATATATTATATAAAATTACTCCTTCCGCCATTCCGTCCAACATTCCGTCCAAAAAGTTATACACGGTTATATGATTCATTAGCAAATTAATTATTAATATAACTACCAAATCTTTATTTCTTAATTATATTTTGTAAATCATAACACTAATAAATGAAAATTCAATTATTTTCAAGAGTATTTGCGCATATATGCAGACATACACATATTGAATTTTATTCTATGACACTAATTTGTGATTAATTGATTTCTAATTTATATATAACTTTTCATCATCAAATGTTAAACAAGTGAAAAGTAATTTTGTGTTTGTTCAGAGATATTTCTATTTAGACATTCAAGTATCAACATTATTATCAGACCATCTTTAATGAATGTTTTCCTCATAGTTTCTTACGATTTGTTTTAACCTTTAAAATGGTTATTACAAGAGAGTACATAAGTTTTTCTATATTTTTCATCAATTATTTATTTAAAAATAAACTCTTATTTTGTTTTTGAGTTTTGTATTTCTACTTCTTTTATTTATATTAATAATATTTCGTTTTATTTCTCTAGTTATATTTAAACTCTATAATTAATTCTATTATTTTTTTATTAATTATATAAGTTTATTAAAACAATATCATCAATATTACATAGTTTAATGGAATTGAGGAATGAAATTGAAATGTTTTTAATGGATTAAACTCAACCGTAGTTGGATTTCGTGTTGATGTTTAATGGATATAGAGTTCAATATGTCTGAACTCTTCAATGAAAAATAAAAAAAAATTAATTATTAAAATATGCTCCATTAAACACTTGTATGCATAGTTGGGATGAAAGTGAGTCCAAACTCGGTCCGGATAGACCCGGATTGGAAAACTTAGGAACCGGTTAACGAGATTTTATAGGACCGGTATATAAGAACCGGTTCTGGTTCAGTTCTGGATAAGATACCGGGTAAAGTGGGTATATAATCGGAAACCCGAAACATCAAAGTGGGTCGGGTGAACCGTGTAAAGTGGGTCTAGAACCAGAAAAACCGGAGTTTTTTTGGTAATTACTTTGTAGCTTGAACTTTGAAAAAATTTCAATTTTGATATCCCAATTTTGAAGAACTGTAAGTCACTGAATATTAAACCAAAAATGAAAATTATAGTCTAAAATCATATACACACTCTAAACTACGCGTTGGAAAAAACTTTATAATAATCCAACTACAAACAAATTAGTTATGCATGTTTTAAAATTTCATAGAATTCAAAAAAAAAGTTGAAAAACATAATATTTCCAGTTTTTTGGTATCCTGATTTTGGGGTAGGGATGAGCGTGGGACGGAACCGGTACCATTCTCGATTTCCTGAAAACCGAATTTGATCGAAAGTTAATCTCAAGTACCGAACCAAATTAATATTATCATTATCAGTACTGGGAATGGTACCGGTTTTTGGTACCAGTACTGATAGCAACGATACTAAATCCCAAATTTTTGTGATTTTGGAGTACCGCATACCGTCTCATATTTTTAAATTCGGTACGGTTCGGTACTGGTTTTGGTATGGTACCGGTACACGATCAGGATTGGTACAAACTGTTCATCCCTACTTTGGTGGAGTCAATTAATATGAAATAAAAAATGACAAAATTATAGTATAAAATTATGTACAAACTCTGAACTACACGTTCGAAAAAACCGCATGCGAATCCGACTTGAAACGAATTATATATGCATGTTTTAAAACTTTTACAAAATACAAAAAAGCTGAAAAAAACAGAAAAATTTCAGCTTTGATATCCCAACTTTGGGGGATTGTAAGTCAATGAATAGGAAACCAAAAATGACAAAATTATAGTATAAAATCATGTACAAACTATAAAGTACACTCTGGAAAAATCATATGCCAATCCGACTTCAAACGAAGGAGACATGTTGTTTTAAACTTTTCATAGAAACCGGTTCAGGCTCCTAAAACCGAAACCGGTTCCTAATACTTGTTCATGTTCTTAAGCATGTTTTACCCGGACCCGAAGTAACCGAAACTCGAATTACCCGGAACCCAAATAAAGTCATTCTTTAAAACCTAGAACCCGGACCGACTTTATATATTCTGGTTCTAACACTTTCGGTTCCTGACCGATTCCGGTCTTGTTTTCCGATATTAAATCTCATCCCTCATGCATAATATGGAAAAATAATATAGTTTTATTAAAAAGTGAATGATAATGTATGAATCCATTAAACTCATTTATAATTTAATATATTATGGATTCCTAAATTATATATGATAGAGACACTTTACTCTTTAATAATAGTGATAGTTAAAGATACTTCTTGAATTTTGAAAAAAAATCATTAATTCTATATTGAAAATGAACTCTGCGCTTTTTAACAACCAAACAACTATTACTAACATTGATTATCAAGAAATTAGCTAAAAGCTTAATACATAAAGTTTCATAATCTACATAAGGGTTTTTTAACTTAGTATCCTGATAGAAATCCAAAAATAATGATACTATAAAATTGAATACACAATCTTTTTTATCATTGTATTTTTTAGATAATTGGTTATTCTAAAACATTAGATGATCCTAAAAATTATCAGAATCAGTAGATGAAACCATCATTTCTTATTTAACTATAAAGTGAGAAGTTTATCTATCAAATTAAGAGAATTTGGGGGGGGGGGGGGGGGAGGATACAAGGGAAATTTCCTACCAAATATTTTTATCATAAATTTTGATGAACTACCCACAAAACATGTCTTTTCGGAGGCGGGAGGAATGATGTAAGCAATGACATAAGAAGCCATTATTAAAGAAGATACATTATTGAAGACATGTGGCCTTTCAATATGGAAAGGATTTGTTATTATGTGTCGGTAGAATAATAGAATAATTATTAAGTGTATTATTTGATGTAACATAAAGTATGTAAGTCCCTCAATAGTCTAGGGGGCTATAATGTAAATAGGTTTGTCATATTGCAATCAACCGATTGCAATTCTATTATTGTACTCGGCTCCTTTGAGCCTATAAATAGGGCATTTGCCCATATGGAATAAACAAGCTAAAATTGAGTGTTTAAGATTTGAGTTGATCTCAATCTTCTTCTGTTGAAATAGCTCGTCTATTTCTAAATAGCAGAACCCTATCCAAACATATCCATATATTCATATAAACATATCAAACCCAGACAATCAATCCATTCCGACGCATCATTCAGGTACAATTCTATCCTAATCATATTAATTCCGCCATGTTTTTCGATTTGGTATCAGAGCTAAGTAACGTTCTTATTATTCTTATTATCAGTTTGCATATTCAATCTATCGTTAATAAGAATATATGCATATGCAGCATCATAAACATGATAAGCATCATAAACATGATAAACATCATAAACATGAAAATAAATAATCATTATTTTTAAGTACCCATATTCAAAAAATCATCGTTATTAAAACAATTAAAAATTATCGAAAGAAGATTTAATATCATAAATATGTCTCAAGATATTCTATTCAATTGTTATATTATTTCTCCATGATAATCTCATTCCGAGTTATTTTAACCATTAATTCTACAAAATTTGAAATTTTTATTAAAATAATACTCGTTCTTAATAATCAAATTAATCAAATTCATGCTTGAAATATATATTTATGTCTAACAAAATTCTGATGAATTGTATTCCTAATAGAAATATTATTTTAAGAATACAACAAATCCAAGAATCTATAAATAATTCTAAAGAAAATCTCAAGGATTCTTACAAACCTAATAATCAAGGTACGATTTTAAACAATAACCATATTCATGATGTTAGATATTTCATAAGAACTAGTATTAAAATCCGTTACAAGCAAATACGACGTCTAAAAACAAAACTATTTGTATTCTAAAACATATGTCTTTTAAACACTATTATAATTAACACTACTATTAAATAAATTTCAATCGTAACTTTAAATCTAAAACGAAACTAAACTATTATTATTATAAAATTATAATCATGAGTTTTTCAAGTCTAGATACAAATAAACAAGAATTAAAATTTTTTCGTAAAATATTGAAACAATCTAAAAAATTTCTTTTAAACTTAAAAATAGATTCTGACATATCAATGATAAATTGTATATCTAATATTGAAGCAATACATATAATAAATAATAGTATAAATTGGAAACAAGAACAAATAAAAAACCTTGAAGATAAAATAACAAAATTAATTTGTTAAATATGATAGAAAAAACAACTACTTCACTAGAAAAAAGAAACTAAAAATTTTATTTTTAATACACACAATATATGGAAACTTTACAAGAAAAAGTAGAAACACTAACTAAATTATTTGCAGCACTAGAAATTCCATCTGAAACTCAAGAAAATAATATAGAAATAAAAAATAATTCAGATGATAATGACGCAGAAGTAATATATGATTTTTCTTCAGAAGATGAAAACCCTTATTCAAATCCATATAGAGATTCACAAAACAATTTTGGATTAAAACGAAAACAATCATATGTTGAAGATGATTATCAAAGTCAATATATTTATGGACCACCTTCATTAGAAGAAAATTTTTATATAGACAAGGAATGGTTAAAAATAAACAAAACAAATGGGAAAAAATACCTCCTCAATACATACCTAAATTATTTACATTTCCAACAAATTCAGATATTCTTTTTATTGATTGTGACCAAAATCCTGAAGCAAAAATTCAAGAATGGAGTAATAAAATGGGAGTACAAATTCAGCTAACCGAAGAATTAAGAAATTTACACCCAAA